CATTTTTAGTAAAATTTTTTTAATTTTTAAATTAAAATATCTTAACAATTATTTAATCAAATTTGCTAAAAATTTTTATTTTAATCTTGAAATTATATAAAATTAAAATAAAAAAAATTCATTAAATTTAATAAAATAGTTGTTAAAATATTTAAGCTTAAAGTTAAAAAAACTTTTACTTAGAAAAAATTGGCTCTTTTCTACTAACTTATCCCAAATTACAAGGGTTATTTGAAGAGCAAGATTCTAATTTAAATTACTTTTTTAATCAATTATATTTAGCAGCATGCTTATTAAAACATACTAGCCAAACTATGAAGTGTATGAAAAAAATTATAATATTTATTTATCTTCTTGCTTTATTAAATAATACCTAAATTAATACTTTTAAATCAAATCTTGTATTTTATTTAGATTTAGTAAAACAAGTAATGAAGGTCTAAATACAATAGCAAATAGCAAAAAGAAAAAATTTCTAAAATATATAATAAATATATAAAAGATAATCTTATAGAGTATTTAAACAATGCTCTTGTAATTAATATCGATAATTATATAATTAGCAATTTTTTTGTAAACTAGTTTTGTATAATATTTTATAATATTTCATATATCAATTTATGTTTAGTCTAAAATTTAGGGTTAGTGTAGGCCAGAAATTTTTTAATATTGGCTAAGTTTTTTACTAAAAAACCCTGGCTAGTATTAACATAATTTTGGCTGCACTAACCCTAAATTTTAGTCCAGGTATAAATTGGTATACAAAATATTATACAAAACTAATATACAAAAAAAATTACTATTATACTATATAATATTCATGTCTCACATAAGCCTCATACTATAAATACATTTTTACTAACTTATATAGTAACAATATTAGCAAATCTGTGCTTAATGTTAGCTATATTGTATAATCAGGTGTTAATCCTAAAGTTGTCAATAAAGAATTAATTGCAAAATATATAAATAAATATTTCATTATAAATCTTGGTGTTCTTTATCATTATATAAAAAATTATACAGTATATATAATTAAATTATCTATAGTCACCTTCTCTATAGTTACAAAATTAATATAATTACAAATTTATTTTTACCAATTATTTATAACTATATAAAAAATCTCTCTATATTAGTCACACCTCTTTACAATCACAGTTTTTTGTATCCCAAAGGTATGACTATAGAGGGGTTTAACTGTATATAAATTATATATAAATAAATATCAAGAGTTAGATTATTTGATTTTTCTAAAACATTAATAATATTTTGATTAATTTTAACAATTTCTGCAGTTAATAGTCATCCTGCAAGTAATTGTCTTGATGGTGGCTGATATCCAGATCTTAATTCTCGTAATGTATCAATAAAATATAGATTGCTAATAACATGAAATAGTATATTACATACTATAAATGCTTTTATTAAAGCTAAATCAATATTATGTTCATACTGAGAAGTTAATTTTGTACTTTCTAGAAACTCAGATAATGATGCTTGACTGCTTATTACTTTTTATTTTTTTTACTCAACTTAATACCAAGTACCAAATTTTGAGATACTGCTTGGCTACTGCCTTGTCGATTGGCAATAACTTGATTATAAAAATCTTTAACTTCTTTGTTTTGGTTTGGACAATCTAATGCCAAATATTATTCAAGTTCACAGGTTTAGCACATGCCTAAAATGTTCTACAAACTTTACATTGTCCTGAACAATGGTCCTTAACAGAAATACTTTTATCAAAAAAATCTCAAACTTTTGCAGATAAACGTTTAGCAGATTTTTTTTGAATAAAATCTTGAGAATTTTCATGTTGAGAATTGTCGCATTGAGAACTTTCATCTTGAGAATTTTCATCTTGAAAATTTTTGTCTTGAGAGTTTTCATCATAAGAATTCTCATCTTGAAAATTTTTATTATCAAATTGAGATTTATTCATATTACAATGTAATAAATGTAAAGAAACAAATGATTTAAATTTGAAAAATTTTGAGTTAAAAATCTAAATTAATTAAAGGTAATAACAGTAAATTTATAATAATTTAAAATACTAACTCAAAAATATTAATTGATAATTAAAATACTTAAAAAATATTCTCACAAAAAACTTGTATATATAAGCTTGAAAGTAAACTTATAGCAATAAATGCTAAATTAAATATATATATAGATTGATATTTTCGTAATTTGATTTATTAATTAAAATTATTTGATATCAAGCCTATAAAAGCTTGACATAGTAAAAGATAAATCAATTATTCAATTTTGTAATAATTTTTATATACTAAATTACTAATTGGTGCATATCGATATTATTTAATAATAATAATAAATTTAAATTATATATTTGGTTTAAATATATAAAATTAATTATAAATAAACAAATCAATAATTTTTTTTTTAAAAAAAAAGCCTTAAATATATGCCTTTATAAAGCTATTGTGAAAATAAAGTATTATTTTAAAAGATATTAATTTACAGAATCTCAATTTGTTATAGTAAAAATATATACTATATTATTTGAGTTCGACAAAAAATAAATCTATTCACTGATAAATATATGTACTATATATTAAAAAATTGTTACTAATATCTGTATAGTATAAATTTTCTATCAAACCATTTCACTTCTTGTCGTATCGGGTTAACAAATGAAGTTACTTGAAATGTAGCTTAGAATTGTAGTATCTGCTCAGACACAGTATCGGTAAGACCATTTAGACTTAATTCACAGTTAAGCAACACTTTATTGCAACAATGTGGCACTAGTAATCATGAAGGTTGGTGCTTGTTCAATTACTTTATATTTTATTAATCTTGAAGAAAAAGAGACGTTTTAGCTTACTAATCTCTTTAACTTATTTATATTATATCATTAATAGATTAAACTACAAATTGATAAAATAAACTCTGTTTGCATGATCATTTATTGATCTATTTTGTATATCATTATATTTATAATACTATTCTAAGCTATAGTTTCCACATACACACCTGATCTATCAGTTCTGACATAATCATTACTGAACATACCCAAATATAGTACAAAGGGTACTGGTCTTCACTATGATACTTCTTATTCTTATTCTATTAACACAAACCTTCAATTGACATACTACTTTGCTATTGCACTATTTTTTTTTTTATATATATTTTGTTGTGATATCATAGTTTTTTTTTATAGTTTTTTTTATGATGTAATTTAATTGTAATTGATATGAGTTATGATTAATAAATTTTACTGAAATATAATTAACCAATAAAAATCAATCACGTGAATCATATACATGATTAAGCACATGATTCATATGATCGATTTTTATTGGTCGATCATTATGTTGTTAGCTGAAATATGCTATTTAGTCAAAAATTTAGATACTTTGATGTCTAAATATATTTAACATAGCATTATTTTTGTTGAAATGTCAAAATCTTAAATTTGACTAAATGTCTAAATATTTGACTAAATAGATATTATATAACTAAATATCTAAATAAATAACATTATATATATATAATTTTTATAATATACAATTGTCTTTTTAGATCAATAATATATACAATATAGAGATTATATTCAATAATTATTATGTGTTACATATATGATTGTGATTATGCAAGATATTGTAATACTGTAATACTGTAATACTAAAATAATAATAAATAAATGAATATATAAAAAAAAAAATAGTGCAATAGCAAAGTAGTAT